TCTGGTCTTGCTGAGATTCTTTCAATTGGCTCGCGTTCAAATGACCTTTTTTTTTTTTCTACTATGCTCATGTTCGTGTTGCATGTATATTTTTATGATATTTGAACAGGATTGATTAGGAATTACATTTTTCGAATATATAAATTAAATATAAATTAAACGAATAGTAATTTTATTTGTCAATGATTTATTCATCAACGTACGAGATAAATTATTTTCTATTATCGCTCGATTATTTTAATTAAGAAATCTATTTTCTCAAGTATTCGCTTTCTCTTATAAAAATTATTTACTCGAATAATAATTATCTTCTGATTATTAATTTAAAATAAATTTCGAGCGGGGAAGAATAATTGCACAAATGTTGCATTGTCGATTCATTTCGCAAGTTATCGCGATTGGGCCAAAATATTACAGTATCACATTTTTTTGTGGATAGCGTTCATGGCATTGGGAACGATTGGCCTTGTGTCAATTCTGAAATGGAAGCCACGCATTTTGCCAATCCCCCAAGTATGTTTGGTATCGTATGGAAGATGGTGTTGCCCACACCTGTTCGTCGGATTACTCATTATGGCAACGACGTATAACCTTTGTTACTAGGAAACTGCCATCCGTTTAAAATTCGAATTGCACATTTGTTCTCGCGCATTAACGCGAATTTAATTAATTATTCGCCAATGACCGTTTACGAAATCATTCGTAAATCTGTTTTATCCTTCGTGGAAGCTTCGTAAAAATTTCATATTTGTTCGTTTGTATTAAAGAACGAAATAATTGATATTTCTTCAGATCGACGATTGCGCGAACGCACGCTGGACAAATTATGGCGCAAGAATTCCGGTGCGATGGAAATATTCATCGCAACATTGGAGGTGAGTTTTTAATCAAGATTTTATTACCAGCCGACGTGAAACGGAACGAACTTTTCCAATCTTTCTTAATCGAATTTCTTTATTATTTTATTAATATTATCATTAAAATGGCCATTAAGATCCAACTTTGGTATTTTCGTTTATTCGTAACGTATTTCATTGGTCTTTGTCTCAATAAAAATAATAAATATGCAACAACAGAAATATATAAGATATTTTGAACAACAATTGATACAACAAATTATGGAAAAATTCGATCTTTTGGATAAGTTAATATCGTGGATGGAGGTGGTAACGATTTTCCTTAATACTCGAATTTTCGAGAGGCGTGACTGAACAATGTGTATTCGGGGAGGTCGGACATTTAATCGACACATTGTGGATCCAATTAAGGATGCGGATAACCATGTCACGATTAACATTTTGCACGGAATGGCGTGGCTAGGTCGCATCAACCGGCCCGGTCCCCATCGTACGTCTTGTCTACGGGGGCTTCCTGCCGCATGCAAAACTGGAAATCCGTTCGTCCCATTTTCCCTTAAGTGTTGCACGCACGCAGAACAGAGAATAATTATTTCCGTGGCATTTTGCGCGAATCGAAAATCTCTCGATCGTTCGAACTTCGTTTACACCAACCAACCACTATAATTCGAGACACGTTAAAATCGTAATTTATTTCGTAAACTTTGCTTCCCAGAATTGCAAGGATCACGTGATAAACTACAGCATCGCCAGCATACTACACGAGTGCATATCACCCCGTAACGCGAAGGGGAAGACCAAAGGGAACAAGAACAAAAGTGCCACAAGTAACAATTTTCAATTTTTTTTCGACCAGTCTTCGAGAAAAATATGTTTTTACGATACGTGTTTGTTAAAGAGAGATTGATACGGTTGATATCGAGAAGCTTTTAATTTATCACGGTATCTCGTAAATTTTTATCTAAAGTATATAATTCTTTGACGAAAGCGTACGATAATTTTTCGTTTTCAGTATCCAGCAGCCGAATGGCAGTGATGCAGCTGATCAATTTAGGAATCACGCAAGCTCTAATTAAACTTTTAGTTAATCTGCAACACACGGACAGTATTTCGAGCGAGGCCCTCACGCGAGAGGTGCTTTGGCTTTTGGGTCAGGTGAGACATAGTTGTCCTTTTATTGCATTCGAAAAGTAATGTCGGTTTTGCGAAAATAGATTTGTCATAATTTACTCATACATCCAGTTTTTAATTCTTGAATAAATTCGAGATACTTGCAATTCATTCTTATATTATTAATAATTTTATCATCCACTATTTGATGATACGAAGAAATAATCTTTCAAAATAATCGCATTTAAACTTTTTTTATATATTTTTTAAAATTCATATGCAATACTGAAAATATTGTGAATTGTTTCGTCTCACGTCTAACGAGAATTGCTTAATCTACGTTCTTCAAGTTCTAAAGTTTATTGTTAGACGAAAATATTTATGGGAACATTGTTAAAATATTTTGAACGTAGAATTCTGGCACAAATTTATCGTTTATTATTATTATTGTTATTGTTATTGTTATTATTATTATACGATGACGACATATGAAGCAACTGCAATTATTTATCCTCAACGGAGACAAAAACCGACATAACTTTTAACAATCTCTCTTCAACTGTTCGAATTTGATCGATAAAATTTGCAGATAGCCCAAAGGGACCAGAAGTTCGTGTTAAAAATAAAGATACTTAATACCATTAAAGTGTTCCACACGCTCTTGAAGCAACATTACAATAATAGCAAAACGTTGTTGCCTTTGTTGTTGATCATCAAATGTCTCGCCAGAAATTGTGAGTAAATAAGTTTCGTAAACAGATTTCTCGGTATGTATTTTCGTGTCGTAGCTAATTTTAATCTTCTTTTTTTCTCTTTCCTTTTCTTTTTTTTTTTTTTTGGCGTTTTCAGCATTCTCGCTTCAGGTATTGATGAAGGACGGTATCGCTTCCACGTTGGAGAAAACATTCGTCGGTATCGGTTACATGCCTCACCTGAAACTCAAATCGTTGTTAGAATGTTTGAAATATTTCACAGCGAGCAGTACGTAAACCTTTATTTTCCTTTTTTAACAATTACCCGTCTAACGAATCGAACTTTAACGATTAAAGTACATATATAACAACTTACACAACGAACGTACGAATTTTTTTGCTCGTAGAAGTTTGTTGCATGAAATTCGTGAAGGTTGGTCTGGTACATCTGTTGATGAGGATCTTCGAGAGATGGGATCGATTCGACGGGCCGATGAGACTGAAGATTTGCAATTCCACTTTGATCACGTTACAGCACTTATGCGTCATAAGTGAGTTTATTCGTGCCGACCTTTAAGCGTTGCTATAATAACGATAATACCCGGCCGGAAGTTGATAGTGTAGGGTGGTAGAACGGCTCTACGCCAATGATTTTAAATTCATCTTCCACTCTCTCCTATTAATTTATTCCTGCTCAAGAAGAAAGAAAAATAATTAGTTTTTTCTCCGCATTCGATTAATTAATTTATTTATTTTCTTTTTTTCAAACGATCTTTCTTCCTTTCCGTTCTTCTTCTCTAATCATTTCCTTATAGAACAAACATCGCGTATGTAAATTTATGTTACACCACGGCCATGGTTTTACGTCGCCATTACGACGCTGAGCCATCTTTTTGTCCTTTTCAGAGGCCGGCAGGAAGGCTATCAAGTTGAACAATGGTTTGCAACTAATGTACCGGTTCTGCAACAATTGCCCGGAGGATAAGTCATACGATTCGTTGCTGTCGCGTATTTGCGGGATAATCAATCAATGTCTGGAGAAGAAGGAGCTGCCGGTGCCCGAAATGTCTCCGGCAAGGTGAACGAAACATTCAAGGTCGTTCGAAATTCATCAACGCCGGATCGAAGCTCGATTCGTTTTATCGCACTTGGTAGTTTTATCATCGATCTGGCTTCAAATTATCTCGAATTATTAAGGAAAAAAAAAAAAACAAAAAAACAGCTTCGATCCAAAAACTTGTTCTTCTCACACAAAGAGTCCGATTCTTCGCGATTCTTGAATAAGATGACGCGTGAAAAAAATTAATAAAACTGTAACGTAACGAGAGAATTTGATTCGAACTCTGTTACAGATTCGTGTTGCCGAACGAAACGAACAGGCCCAACAGCGTTGAGAGTGGTAGCGACATCGACAGTCAGGTGTGTATCTTTTCCCTGGCAGAATGATGTAACGTAACTCGAGATGGTAAAATATTTTTTTTTTTTTCAAAAACTTTCTCCGATCGTTTAAATACGTCGAACATGGAGCGTTGAAACGCGCGTAATTTTCACGAGAAGCAAAATTATATATATATATTTGTATCGCAGCCCTGCAGTGTCGCCTCTCTTGGACGAATGTACAGCGACCTTGATTCGGGCGACGAAGAAGAAAGCCAGCATTCAAGGACGAATGCGAAAACCATGAACGCGACCGACGAAGTGGACGAGAGCAAGTTCTTTGCCGGTGTATTCACGTCTCAAAGATCGGAGGAGGAGTTGGCCGAGTACGTCGACGTTATTTTTCGAGACCTCGTTTCGAAAAATTTTTTCTTTTTTTCTTTAAACTTTCCCCTAATTAAATCAAATTGATTAACGAATATCCCTCGATTCGTCTCTAGATACAACGTTTTTTTCAAAGAATTGGACAACCTTGGACATTATCAAATATGCGGCGGAAGTTTATCGATGGAGATCATGGACGCGATCGATTCGAAGGGGTGTAGCAAAACAAAGCTAAGGGATTTGTTGAAAGAGGGGATATCGAAGACGAGCCAAATGACGAACAGCGAGACAACGATCAAAATATTCAAAGATATTTCGATTTTGACGGATCAACAGGCTTATTGCGTGATAGCGAGCAGGGTGAAAAGCGTTATCGGTTTCGTGAAGGTTGCTTACCCGGATCTGATCGGTGGCGACGGCCTCGGAAAGGACGAGCCCTTGAACAGCAAGGACAGAAGGGTCTGCCGTTCGAAACTTCTCACCTGCGTGGAGCGTGGCCTCCACGGTAGCCTGTTGACGCCGGAAGTGGTGTACGATCTCGACGCCATAACTTCGTCCAGCCATAATAACGCGTCGTCCACGGAAGAGCAGAAACTGATCGACCATCATTTGTGCAACTGGGATGAGAACAGGATAGGAAAGCGTTCCTTCGACAACAAACACTTGCACTTCGAGTCCAGATTCGAGAGCGGGAACCTGAGAAAAGTTATTCAGGTACAAAACTCTATGAATGTTTCAAGCGTTATTTGTTAAAAAAAGCGTCGTTGAATTACCAAACAATGGATGCGCGCTTCCCGTTTCGGCGGCAAATCTGCATCATTTCTTTCCAACTCGCTTCCTTACAGATAGGCGTGAGAGAGTACGATCTGATCTTGACGCCGGACGTGAACAGCGGTTCCAGGCACCAATGGTTCTATTTCGAGGTGTCGAACATGGAGGCGTTGGCGTATACGTTTAACATTATCAACTGCGAGAAAGCGAATTCGCAGTTCAATTTCGGGATGAAACCGATCCTGTTCAGCGTTGCGGAGGCACAGCTGGGCAGGCCAGGTTGGGTGAGAACCGGGGCGGACATCTGCTATTATCGAAATTGTTATCAACGGCCGGCCAAGGGGAAGAATTATCTCACTACCTCGTTCACCGTCACTTTCCCTCACGCGTACGACGTCTGTTACCTGGCCTACCATTTCCCTTACACGTACAGCCTGTTGATGACCAATATCTGGAAGTGGAGCAAGAGGGTGCCGCCCAATACGTATTTCAGAGCGGAGACCCTTTGCGAGACGTTGAACGGCAATGACAATCCTCTGCTCACTATCACGTCTCTGGATTCCAAGAGCAATCCCATACAGGTGAGGATCCTCGAAGCGAGGATAAGGAAGATGAGGGGATGTTTTCGAAAAATTATTTTAAGAAGGTTCTTTTTTCTTTTTCTTTTTCTTTTCTTTTCCCTCTCTCTCGAATAACTCTCGAGCTTGAAAAGCGAAATTCTCTCGATTTTTCTTTCTAGAATCGCAAGGTGATATTTCTGACATCGAGGGTTCATCCGGGCGAGAGCAACGCATCGTGGGTGATGAACGGTACCTTGGAGGCGTTGCTGGGTAACAATCCTTACGTGACGAGCTTACGCGACGATTACATATTCAAAATCGTGCCGATGTTGAACATCGAGGGTGTGGTGAACGGTTGGTAAGTGTAGTAGTGTTATATATAAAATTAGGCACGCGTTAAAGGGGATGAGAAAATGAAAAAAACTCGACTATCGTAAGAATGTGTTTCGTACCTTTATTGATATTCAATTACACAAGTTGAACATTCGCGCCGTATTTACGCAATGATATTCAAGATCCATGCGTCGATGATACCTATCGTAATAGTTAGAAAATCATTTCGCGATGTTGCCGATTCTCATACGTCTGGATGACCGAAACGTTTACGCGACTCATAATCGCGTCTCCTCGATTCCTTTATTCTTCTCCTTTTCTCCTCGTCCGATGACATTCTTCGAGAATCTTCCCGAATCCTCGTTCCGTTTCGATCCCATCGACATTCAACTACGAAGAGGAGCCGTGCACCGATTTCGAATACGAATCGGACGCGAAACGTTTCATCTTGCAGACGTACGAATATGATATTAGAACTAAGATGATTATTCACCGATACGAATGAAATTATTATTCGTGGCACTGGCGGACCAACCTCTCAATCCTACATGATTATCCTTAAAGAGCAACGATGATACCTCCGTTGCTAGCCTAAAGCCTGAGATCCCACGCGGATGATCCCTCCTTACGTTACTATCATCTTCCATCATCTACGACGGCGGTATCGATATTAAGCGATAATAAAGAAAAGACGGGTAAAGAGATAGGAGGAGAATGGAGCCGTCACGTGTCCGCCGGTGCCACTCTCGTGGACGATTAAAAGATCGAATTGAATCGGAGTGGAGTGAATGCCCTTGCGAGAACGACGTCGGTTGGTTATCGCCGGGGATCGAGGCCAGAAGGAAAGGAATCGACGTTTTATCGAAATTCGTTTTAGAAAAGTTAGTAATCGATCGTTGTGTTAATCATATTCGTACGCGATGGCACGGTTGTTTCGAACAGAGATCCACGGATACGGAGAGCAGCAACTTATCCCCGAAAAACGAAAATTGGAAAAACGTTTTTCCTTCCGTCGAGCGGAAGCCCCGACGACACGTGTGATGAACGTGTGTGGCGTGAAAGAAATCCGACGAGCACTACCGGGAATTCGTTTCGAAATCAGAACGAAATGGATGAGCGATGAATGGCGACGAACGGAGCCCCCCCTCCCCTCCCCACCAATCATCGCGATGGGATCGCGCGATTCTCTCATTTGTCCGTTGCGATATACACATAAAATAACGTACATTGATATATCTAGTTCCTTCAAGAATCTCCCTTACATTCATCACTTATCGACGAATAATCGTGACGAATTGCCTAAATTGTAAAGCGTTACTTGGACGGAGGGTCTAATACTTTGCCGTTGGTGCGCACTTTGATGTTGTACCTGTAGGCCGGTTCCGCTTCTGGCAGGATCGTGCTGCTGTCGTCGTCCTGATCTTTCATCATCGATGATTCGCCCGCCTCGGGTTGGTCGTTCACGTAGTAATCTTGGACGCTGTCGTAAGGGCCGACCGTGTGAGCGTCTTCCAAACCGTTGTTGGGCGCCTCGGTCTCGCCGCGCATCTCGAAGTAGTCCGGCGACTCTCGATGCTCGGCCTTCATGTTGGAGGCCGAGCGTAGAGAGGAGC